TTGAAGTATCACCGATGCTAAAAGTATAAGGGCCTAATAGCAAAGAAATATGTAAAATTGTTAGCATGTACTCAAAGTCAATATCAACAAATGGAACATAAAATTTACACCTACCTAGTACTTTAACTTTTCTTGGTTCACAATCATTCAATTCTTCCATACCCTTAATTTCAGTAAAAGTCACATATTCTCCATCTTCCAGGCCATGCCGCGATTCATCAAGACACGTGACAATTCCGTCAATGTCTTTTGAAACCGCAGCGACCATGCCTGTTAATGGATTCTCACCAGTAGTGTCAGTGACAGTAAAATGCGGTCCAAAGTCGATAAAAACCAGGCTGATTCACAAATAAAAGTCAATAATAATTATTTAAGAATTAGACAACATTATAAACTTCCGTTTTTTTACCCGAAAAGACCGCGAATATCGGTTGAAATAAAATGTATTCCATTAGCATGAGTAAAATCGTTAATTTCCAATTGTTTTTTTAGCGGAGTTTCAGTCAACACAACAACCTACAAGTAATATAACATGATTCGGTAAACATATACGCGTATATTGCATAACAAAATTTTGAAATTAAAGATAATTATGCTAATTACGCGTATTATTTAAATTATACCAAAAATTACCTGAAAATTCCTTATTTTATCATTCGTCAATTCTCCTTCCAATACAGATACAGGTACGTATTGATTAAGTTCAGCCAATCGTGGTTGAGTTACTATGGCTTTGGGTTTTCCTATGTCATCTTCATGAAGGAAAAACTAAGCAAAAATGCATACCATCAATGATCCATGCTAATATTATTAATTATATAAATATTCGTAATAATCGCGCAAAGTTCTAACCTGCGATGACAAATCGAAAATCCTGACTGGCTCAGGATCGTAAAGGGTGACACTTTTAACGCCAGCAAGTACGACGTTTTTAGCTATACCATTATTAAAATTTTCACAACACGAATTACGCTTGAAATTATTTACTTAGTGCGACTAACATAAATTAATGAAAAAAAAAGAAACGCACCAATTTCAACACCAAGACCCTTTAAGCCTACAATAAGGACATTAGAACTTCCCATTTTCTTCATAGCATCGTGACCAAGAACATAGCTGTTCAAATAACAACAGATCTTTGTTATTTTTTTGGTTAAATTCGAGCTTGGACTTTTACATAAGTTAAAAATGATAAATACAGCTGTCTGGAGTAAAGCCCTTCATCGATCGTCTGCTCACTATTTTCAATTTCCATGTTGATTTATAGAAAAATAGATATTCGTAAAACTAGCGAAAGATATAAAACTAGTTTAAAATCAATGCTACCACTACAGGATTTTATATATTAAATCCTTAACAATGATTGGCTCGGAGTACGATAAATTAATACTGCGGTCAATACCCAAAACGATTAAATTCTATCGCAGAAACACTTTTTATATAATAGAATTTTTTTTAACCCAAATATAGAAATAACGTTTGTATCCAGGGACTAATGGGACTAATCCAGGGTAAGGGCGGTGATTTTCAACGATGACATTTTATCAGAAAATCACCGTCCTTGCTCGTGTACCGTCGAAATGGTTGTTATCAGAACATCCGTAGTAATAGAAGTTTATATAACGATAACTAATTTATGTCTATAAAATAAAACCGGTTCAAAACTCTAATTATATCTTTTTTAATGATTATTTAAAGCAATCGATACAAGTTTTTAATGATTTGGTTATAAAATATATCGACACTGGAAGAAAATCTTTATTGACATATCAAAATGTAAAGCTAAACCGGTTTTGATCGGTTTAACGGGTTTTAACATATGAAGAATAAAATAGCGATAGGTTCTAAATTCGAAGCAGAATACCTTACGTATGTATATACATACGTTATATTGTTAAATATATATATATATATCGATATCAAAAAATATTTTAGTTATTAATATACGTAAAGGCGAAAGAATCGAAAGATTGAATCTTCATTCAAAAGCCAAAATGTGTAAATTAATAATTTTGACAAATTCAAGTTTATTTTTTTTTTATAAAAAATAAAAAAAAGAATTATTTACCGCCAATGCGATGCATCACCACCTTTTTTAAATTAAAACAAACAGCTAAAAGACTACCTAACCTAAAATTTCGCTTTTTAAAAAAAATAATCATATGATAATCACTTCGATTCACGTCACACATCTTGCACCCTGAAAATAATGATAGAACAGGGTGAAAGCTGAGTGAGATCCGCCTTGTAGATCGTGTTAGAGTGAAACCCGTGTTTTATTGTTTTTTATTATAATGATTGTTTAAAGCAAATGAATGCAGTTTTTGATAAAAATATCAGATACTGTATACAAATATATATTTTTAAAAATATTTAAGGTACAAATTTTAAAGTTACAGCGTAAATGCGTTTGTATGCATCACAGAACAAGTCATTCTGACTAACTCCCATACATAATACCACGAAAAAGGTTTGTATATATTAAGACGCTGCTGCGGTGATATTAACAAGCGTTCACTAAAAACAAAATCGTTTAAGTAACTACGTATAATATAAAATTAATTCATTTGACAAAGCGGGAATTAGATCATTTTATTCTATTCAATGATCAATGACAATGACTAAAGAGTTCATGCGTTTATACAACATGCATAACCATTGATTGTTACCGTTAAAAAAAAAACAGATTATATCATTTTGAAACAGACATCTAGCATTATTTAAAAATCCGGCTTAAAAACGATTTAATTCACAAAATCATATATTTTTTATCTTAAATCGGATTACTATTTTAATCTGAATATCCGATTATAAACCGATATGATTCCAATCATCAAGTTTAACTTTGATATAAATGGGTTCTAGTAAAGTGCGCGATAAAAATATCCAGAAAAATGTTATATATACTTGCGTAATTTGAAAATGGCTGATCTATTATTATCAATGATTTTGGGTTTAAACAAATGCTACGAACCTTAAGGTTCATTTAAGACCAAAATCATCGAAAACGAATTGGCAGTTCTCAAAATATGTTTGTTAAATGCTGCACTAACGAAAATTGAATTTACGAAAAAGATTATCAATCATCATGTACAGTAGAATGCTCGCATCTCAAGGACTGTTGAACCATTTTCAATGATTTTTGGTGCCAATGTTCGAAGCATTATATGTTACTCTGGATATATCGACAATTTTTTTTCATTAGTAAAAAATTCAAAATGTCAATACAGTGAGTTATACCGACATTTTATATTAAAAAAAATGTCGGTATAACCAGCGTGGCGTGTAATTTAAATCCAAATTACCTATCCGTTCTTGAGATATCGGCATTATTTGATGATGCATTTATCGCGAGATCGAAAATGAAATAGCAATCTTATAATGTTGATATCTCAAGAATGGCGGAACCTTTTTTGATGATTTTGGGGTTAAATTAATGCTTTGAATCGTAGCATTTAAGCTCTAAATCATTAAAAATGGTTTAACCCTTCTCAAATTACATAAAAATTCTGGATATTTTTGTCACAAACTTTAAAAATTCTCCGGCAGCCATTTCGCCAACAATCTACATCTAGCCTATAGCTCTCACTTAAATCGGGCCAACTTTGTCTACAAAGCAGTTATCAGCGAAATTGGTTTATATCCTAGTCAAGATCCAAAGAAATAGCGTGGTAGTCTTGCAGAGTGATTACTCATAATTTTTTCCCCAATAATATATACATGCGTATATATTTGTCGTAGAATGCATCAATAGAACTTGATTCAATGTTCTTATTCCTTAAGACATAAATTGCTGTTATACACTTCCAAGTTTAAAAGGCCATTATTTCGCCAAAACTTTTAATTGCTTGGAGAGAAAATTTTCGTCGAGAACTAAAAATTCAAACTTTTGACGTTCTTATTATAATATTCCGATCTATGTTTCATAAACTCTCTAAAGTGATAATGACCTTTGAATGATCTTTTTTGGACCTTTGAATTTGTGCAAGCATCTTATTCGTCCACACCAACTTTTAAATAATTACCAACCGATCATAATCCACATTTTTCTATTCTTTTTTTTGACCATATTTGATGTACCGAATTCAGGGATTAATACCGTTTTGTAACGTCTTATTCGTAGAAACTTTAAAACTAAAGAACATTTTGGATCTCAGGATCGGATTCGAATTTCATCCAGTTAACAATACCTTCATCCAAGCGGTTAAACTCCTGCATTGTTGATTACAAAAATAATTTGTGGTCCAAGCATTTTTTTAAAATTCAAAATATCGATCTAAATTATATTTAATTAATAAATGTCATCCGTGACCGAAAACGGAAATATTTATCCATTGTATCCTATTAACCATGCTAAGGGCGGTTTTTAGTTAATAAGGTTAACAAAGGAGAACGTTCACTATTCAGTTACCCTAAATCCGCATCCAATTCTCTCTAGCCTGACCTAGTGGATACTCGGTAAAATTAGAAATATGGGGGTCTTTACTTTGAAAATCACGTTATGGGACATAGTAAATCATATGCTCCATAACGTGATTTTCAAAGCGAAGACCCTATATATCTCACCTTTAAAATATCAATATTTTCGTTTTCACAGTTCTAATAACGGCGTTATAAGTTAGACCGAAACTATCGAAACGAACAATTCACGTAGAAACGTATGGTACAATAAAAAAAGTCAAATTCGACCAGATACTCCTCAACCATTGACCAATAAACTTTTGAACTACCAACAATTCGATCAACCCTTGTTTTAACATATCAATATGAAAAAAAATCAATAGTAACCAATAAAAATTAATGATAAGCCGATCAAAGCGCAGCTAACTGGCTAACCAATATTATTGACCGCAGCCAATCGTGTATTATAAATAAATCAATATGAGTCATTAAATCACTCGATGACTCACCCGATATTATTATCGTTATTTATATAAATTGAAAATTTTTTTTTGAAAAAAAGGAAAAATCTCGAGTACTTTTTTTCTTTTTAAGCAATCATGTCAGACGTTGAAAACGACCAACAAACTTTAGAAGAAGAGAAGACAGAAGATGTATGCCCTTTTTATATATATTTTATATATACACAATATATATAGTAATCGTGAAATTATCTTGTCAAAAAAAAAAAAAAAAAATTTTTTTATATAGAGTATCGACTAATTAAAAATTATGTCATATAGCTTCTGTTTGATCCGAATTTGAAAAAAAAAAAAAAAAAAAACCAAAGTAGTTTTCGAGGATCAAGTAGACACAAAGGAAGAGAAAGTAGCCGAAAACGCAAATAATTCAGGTAGAATTCATTAATATGATATGCTAATTTTTTTAATTTTTTGTCTTGTTGTCCTAATAACGATATCATGTTCTGTTGATTTAATGGCAGTCGAAGTCAATGAGAATGAAGAAAAAGCTGAAGATGATGATATGTCAATATTTGCTGATATGAAGAAAAAGAAGAAAAAGAAGAAGGAAGTTACTGATGTAATGCATTTATTATCTTATTGTGTATATATGTATTTCTTTATTATTTATTATGATAATTGAATGCGTAATTTTGTTTTATCATTTTAGAAAGAAAAGGTTGAGGAAGAAGTTCCTGCCGAATCAACTGAATTAGAACAACCTTCTAAACCGAAAAAAAAGAAGAAAAAAATTGATTTTGCTGAATTTGAACAACAATTGAAGGAAGTAGGTGGGGAAGAGACTCGTGGTGCTGAAGATGATAATATATTTGTTCCAGAAGGCGAACAGGTAGAAAAAGTATCAGTCGAGGAAGCTTGGTTAAAATCAGATCGGGATTACACATATCAAGAAGTATATATAATAAATATTTCATATTCACTTTTAAAAAAAAAATAAGGAAATGTTAATCAGGTTATAATTACATTTCAGCTTTTGGGACGTGTATTTCGAATTCTTCGGCAAAACAACCCTGAGCTTGCAGGTGATAAAAAAAGATACACGATTGTCCCACCATCAGTCCATCGAGAAGGAAACAAAAAAACGATTTTCGCAAATATTTCAGATATTTGTAAGAGGTAAAAAAAAAAAAAAAAAAGCTATAAGTCGATGAAACTATGTTTATTATTCAATTATGCTGATGTATAATTTGTACTTATCATAAAAACACAGAATGCACAGACAACCGGAACACGTTATTCAATTCTTATTTGCTGAATTGGGAACAAGTGGTTCGATTGATGGTTCTCAAAGACTAGTTATTAGAGGTCGTTTCGTACAAAAACAGTTAGAAAACGTTTTGCGTCGGTATATAGGTAAGACTGAATTTTACTAGTTGTTACCAATATATCTTTCAGTTCTAACTAATAAATGAATTCCATGTAGTTGAATATGTTACATGTAAAACTTGTAAGTCACCAGACACGATCTTAACAAAAGAAAATCGTATTTTTTTCCAACAATGTGAAAGTTGTGGGTCCACAAGATCAGTGTCTGCAATAAAAACAGGTAAAATTTCGAGTTTTCAATTGATTTTTTTTTTCTTTTACAACGATGTAACCATTCTTATGAATAATAAACAGGGTTTAAAGCACAAACTGAGAAGAGAGCTGCTCAAAGAAGGGCCGCTGTGCAATAAAAAGTGGATTTTTAATGTAAACCTGGGGTTTACAATTTTATCCTGGATCGGGATAGCCTAAATATTATTGGCTAATTAGTTCTAGCGTTAAAATTTCAAGAAAATTGTATATTTTTATAAAACATTTATAATAAAAAACATTAAATAATTATAACTGATAATTGCTAATCTTAACGGGGTGAATTTCACCTCCTCAGATTGACCAATCAGAACATGAAATTAAACATGATTTTTAATTTGTTTTTGCAAATTTAATATAAGTTTTCTAACTTAGCATTAGAGGTGCAGGCGAATCATCCCAATGGTGTTACGGCTTAAGCTGTAACTAGCTAAATCTTATGTCGTAACTAGTTACGGCAATCATTGGGACGATTCGCCTGCATCTCTACTTAGCATTAATTAAGGTTGCTGGTCAGGGTTGTAAAATTGCGGTAATTTATAAAATTTTCTGGTAAGTTACCGAAAAACCACTAAATTTTGCCTGGGTCCTTTTGTCTTAAAACCGGTAACTTACGAGGTGCATAATATTGATGGTGCCAACACTGTATATAGCTAGTTATATGCACATTTTGCAAGTCAAAAATTTTTTACTTGCATAAATTTAATTTTAATTTTACAAAAAATATATATCATATAAATTTTGTGCGTCTTGCCAATTTTAAACACTCAAAAAAGTTGTGTCATGTTCAACCGATGATATTTTAAGAATAACTGATTTCAAATTCTAAAGATTGTATGATTCGAAAACTATCTCTTTATTTAAACTTATGAACTTTATTGCTTAAGCCGATTTAGCCAGCCGTCCCGCTTAGCTTCTTAGCTGGTTGATACCTTTATCAGCTGGTGAATCATAATATCAAGGGTACGCGGAGCAACCTCTAGCTGTAAATTGCCAATTTAATTTTGATTGGTAGATCAATCACGTGTTTTGCTGATACGTAAAATTTTCGAAAGAAATTTTTTGAAAGAAACCAAAATTTCAAAAATTTTTATTAAAATCATGTGATTAATTTTAATAAAATTCTTTCCGTAAGTATATACGTCATACCTGCCAGATAAATTAGTTATCTGGCATCATATACGGATTATGGACATCGCCAGTATAATTGCAACCCACGAGGCCTTCGGCCACGTGCTTTTGCTATTATCCTGCCGATACCCATGTATCCGTCAAATCATGCCAGATAACAA